GTAGCCTCAACAGCAAGAGAGGCAGCCTTCCACCATTCTTTCCGCCAATGTCGGAGCTTTAAGCAAGAGAGGACAGGTGGGTGCCCAGAGAGGCCGCTTAATCCTTTAACCTGCTTAAGCTTACCCCTTGCGGACAGCTTTTCAGTGTAACTAACAAAGCCCAAGAACTTCTCAGGGTGTTCTTTCACCAGACTCTGGGAAATTATAGGGTCCCCGTATCTCCCCCATCCCATTAGAACTCAAGTGACAGAGCAGGCTGGAGTCAGGGCCTGAGGGGAAACTTTCAGAAGGGAAACGGCTGGGCAGCCTCCTTCCATTCACCTCTCCTCTGCTCCGGCCCACAGGCCAGTCCTTGCATAATGCATCCCTCTAGTGCATGAACTGGCCTGGAGAGGGAGGGCCCACAGGCTGCATGGGGCGAGTCACGGGGAAAGGACAGCCTAGCCATGCAAGGTTTAAAAAGAAGAGCATGACGTGGTGCCATGAGCAAAGGCATGACATTCCTGGCCCAGAAATATATTTATTGGACATAATAAATCACTCAAATACAGAGGCCCTAACAATTCATCTTGAGAAATGCAGGAATGAAAGAGCACTGGAGAGATCAGAGAAACAAGAGCACTCATCCCCGAAAGAAGGGGCTTGCCAGAGAGGGAGAACACCTTGCAAGAGCTGGCTGCCAGGAGCAACCAGGCCTCAGCACAGGGACCTTCCCATCTATACTCTTCTGCCTTGTGCACAGCCCCTGGGGCAACAGGGAGAAGGCTGACAGGGTGTATCCTTAGTCTGGGCTCCAGGCTTTGGAGGGCCCTTGGGCAAGACACCCTCAATAGGCCTCCCTCAGTGAGCCAACCTTTTCGCCGCCGTGGCCACCAGCTGTGGTCGCTCCTCATCCTTTCTCTCAGCACTGCCACCACCTGCTCGCTGGGCAGACAAAGAAAACCAGTGAGTAAATTGGCAGGGGCAGCTCCTGCTGCTCCTGCTCAGCACCTCCACTGTCTGCACCAGAGGGAGAGGCAGCGGAACAAGCAGACGGCAACAGTGAAAGGGAGGAGACATTTCAGGGGGCTCTCAGCACATGCCCAGCCATGCCTACCTTTGGTGCTGGCCTAGATTATCTTCCCAAATTCCGGCCTAGATCCACCAACCCTGCTCAAAGTGCTGGTCACCAGGAGGCATGGCCTACCATTAGGTGCTTCCAGGTCAGGGTGACTGTCGCCAAGCAAAGATCCAGGTTCTGCTGGAGTCTGTATGATTCACCAACTGTCTTCCAAGTACCTAGATCTCCATGCCACCACGCTTATTTCCCAGCCCCTCCACTTTTCTGCTTTCCCAGTCCTACCAATGTCTCCTATGATCTCCCCTGTACATTTCCTTCTGAACTCACAGAAGTCAGATGATTTATCCATTTGTCTGTGTTGATTGGCAGTGGTTTTTCAAGCGTTCAGGCATTGGTTTTTCCTGTCTCTTGCTACCTGAGCCTTTTAACGGGAGATGCTGACAACTGAACCAGGAAGAAAACATGAAAATGCGTGCTCTGTCACCAAGCTCAGCCCCATTCTGGGGTGATGTGAGCCTAGCGGCAGTTCAGACCCCGCAATGGCACTGACCAGGCGCTTGCACTTGGGCAGCATCAGTGGTGATCAGAGGTCCATATGGCTCCAAACATGCCCGCCACAGAGCCACATTACAGATGGTAATGCCGCGCACACACGTTCAAACATATGGTCATGCAGCATCGGATGTTGCATGAAAACACTTCCAAAAGGCACAGCCCGGCCAGCAGAGGAGGACGGAAAGCTGGCTTCAGACCTCAGAAGGGCAGATGAAAAGGGAGATTTATTCTTGAATGGTACAACAAAACTTTTAACTGTTGGCCACAGCAGGAGGCACAGCAGGATCCCCGCTTTGGGGATCAACATGCTGTGGACTGGCACCAACACCAACATCCCTAGTGAGTTTAGCTCAGTTTGATCTCCTGCATTTCTTTTTGAAGCTCAGCCCTAGAAGCAAGAAGCCTTTCCAGGAACTGGTGCACTTGGAACCATCTCACAGAGCTATTCCTGGCCTGGAGTCACCTTGATCTGGCAGTTCTGAACATCATTGCCAGATTTGTGGAAAACCCTCCCAAGGCAGGTGGAGTTTCCAGCACATGATCTCTTGGCTCACCCCACTTTCTGCTTCGATAGGATTACACAAGGCTGTCATCTTAATATGCATCATGGGTCTGCCCGCCACACCAAAAAGGCCATCCATGTTTGACAGAAAGAATGGAGAGAGAAAAGTAATGAACACATGAGGAGGTTCCTCTTGGGATGATGGTCCACACTGGATGATGAAGATAGGCAGGAAGGGTGATTTGAAAGATGGCATGGAGGGTATTTGAGGGTGTTTAAACAAAATACTCAAGCATTCTACTCAAAAGAGGTATGAAAAGCTAAATAAGGCATGGCAGGCTTCCCTAGCCTGGTGCCCTCCTGAAGTTTTGGATTATAGCTCTCAGACGACCTGCACATTGGCCATGTTGGCTGGGGCTGGTGGGAGTTCAAATCCAAAACATGTGGCAGCACCAGTTAGAGGAAGACTGAGAAAACTGTGTGGGCTTGAATTAGCCTGCAACAATGCAACAATCTCTCATGCTTCCGGAATTGTGGAATGAGTAATTCCGGTGGGTGAGAAAGGTACAAATACAATGAACGAACACGGTAGTTGTGGGGAATACTGGTGAAACTGAGGGGTTCGCTCTCAAACCCCCACGGCAACTCCATCTCTCCTATAAATATGCTGCCACTCCGGCTGCACCACTCCGGGTGGTGATGGGAATTCCTACCAAGGAACGCAGAGAGCCTTGTCTGCTGCGGATCCCAAATCTCTCTTGGAATGCTGCCACGGATCACAATGCCTCTGACAGGAGAACAGCCCTTCTGTTCCTTGGCCAAAAGCCATAGCAGTCATATTGTTGTCATCCTCATTTTCATTCCGATAGGCGGCCACGTGAAGAATTAACAGTGCTTGCCCTGCGAGCAAAATAATCCCATTTTCTAATTCAGTGGTATAAAAGATCTCACCAGAGATGTGGACTGTGTGCGTGGGTGGTGTCGGCCCCTGAACACCTCCTGGCAAAATAACTACCAAAGATTTGCCTCTCACAACCAAGCCCTCCATTCCCGTGGGGTCAAGGAGTGACCAGGTCCCCCAAGAGGTATTCACAGCATCGTGAAGCTCCTCCTCCTGCCAACCAAGCAGCCGACATCAGCTCGAGAAACTGAGCAACCAGAAGATATTTGCCTAAATAGGTAAGTGACCGATGCTGCAATTCTATGCAAGTATAGACAGAAAGGGGGCCTACTGCTTCCAGGATGCCCAGCTCCCAACTCCCAGGAATTAACCGGCTGGGGCATGCTGGGAGTTGCGGGACTTTTCTGGTTTAAATGTGCATAGCTTGGGCTCTAAGCAGACCAGTCTCCTTTTCCTCCCCTCCTCGCCTGTTAGTTGTGGAGGGGAGCAATTCCCAGGGTGGTGAGCCAAGCGCTACTACCCAGTCGATTCCTCTGCTCAGCCATTCTGCTCCCTGCTTTCAAGCACCTGCAGACACATACAGATGCCGCCCTATCGGATTCAGTTCCCTTCCAGTTCTCAGACTTCGCAGTACAAAAGGCACATGGCCTTTGCTGAAGGCCCTCATTCCAAACACGTGGGCCCTCAGATGCCCTCTCTTATCTATCAAATGCCCTTTCCTTAGCCTGGAAGGCAAGTTAAGTGGCATCTTCTCCTATACTGAGGGCCAAAGAATGGGAAGAAACACGCCTCCTCTATTCGCCATCCTCAGCAGCCCCATGAGCAAATGCCAACCCAGAAACGAGCTCCCCTGACATGCACCAGCCCGTAAATACTGTAGAGAAGGTTTCGCTGCTGGGCTTTGAAAGCAGACGCCACCATCACAAGGCACCTGAAGATCGGAAGCCTATTTAAAGGGCTGCTGCTAGCAGGGACCAGATCCCAGCAGGAGAGCCTTGCATCTGGATGCGGAGGAAACCCTGCATGCGGGAACCACCACAGCCTCCACAGATCATGCCTGGGGCTTTACAGGTTACTTGCTTTGCCCCTTGCTCCTCCTCCCCCCCCCCCAACACGAAGGCCGCTTGACCAGTTCCCGTGCTGACTCCACATGGAATGCTACCTCTCTGGGGATGGTTTGCTTGCAGGTGCCCCACTGGACAGACAGAACCCCCATTTCAGAATACACTGGTGCAGCTGTGTGCTTCAAGGGCAGGGCCCCTCCCCTAACGAGCTCAGCCTGGCTGCTGTGGCATGAGACAGTTGGTCAGACGCGACGCCAGAGGGTGCAGCCCCTCGCCTTTGGCTTACAGGTGGGAGTCCCCCATGGGCAGCCACGGAGGAATCTGGCCACAGCTCTTGCTCCGTCAGCACTCGAGCGAGACATACAAGAAGGGAGTGGGCAGCCGGGCTGGCTGGAGCCACGTGAAAGGAGGGCCCAAGGAGGCAGGGAGAAGGGACGCTGGGCTGTCCCGGCCATCCAGAGGTTCGCACCGTGCCTCCTCTTCCAGGTTCCGTGCAGCCCTTCAACCTCCCTGCTGCCTGCAGCTGACGCCTGCAGCAGAAAAGCCATCCCCTCCCCTCCCACCAGACCATGAGGGCTCCGCAGAGGCGGCCGTGGTATTGCTAACAGAGAGGTGGAAGAGGCGGCCGAGGTGCACGGAGAGTCAGGCACTAGGAGGGCTGCCTGAGTCGCTGCTTGGTGGCTGGCAAGAGCAAGCAAGCATGAGCTGGCCGGGGCGTCTCAGCCAGGGAGGAGCTGGATCGAGACAGCGTGGGCGTGTGGGCAAGTGAAGCACTGAAGGACGGCTAGCTGCTATGCGCTTGTATTTCCGACGCATGAGGCTGCGCTGCGGCATAACTGAGTGCATACTATACGCAGAGGTTTCTCCAGCCTGGCGAGATGGGAGGTCGGTACGTCTAATGCTAGCAGCAGCAGAACATTATCTAGCAGCAGCTTTGCCTTCCTGGGCTAGGGGCCTTCCTTTGGTTGCTGGAGTGTGAGTCGGGGCTTTCCCTCTGTGTCCTTTCCGGAGCACGCTGGGCGACGAGGCGGGGCTGTCTCCCAGCAGGCCACCGGCCTGAGCTCTGGATGGAGCCCTGGAAGAAGGCTGGGCCCGGGGAGGGAGTGCAGTCCCCGGCCTGTGTTGCCGGGACGGGGAGGGACTTTCCTTCCTGGACAGTGACTGGCTTTTGGGGGAAGCACTGAGGTTCCGCGAGGGGAGAACAGGACTCCGGGGTGGAGGGCAGGAAGCTTTCCTGGGACTGCTCCGCAGGGGAGTCACAGCAGCGGGTGGCAGCGGCCTTATCCGGGCATCACCAGGTACATTCCCGGACAGTCTTTGCCCCTGAAGCCTGCAGCGAGAGATCACAGAAGCAGAAGAAAGAGATCCGTTAGTCTGGAGACTGCACTACGGCTTCTCACACAAGGCGGTGTGGCAGCAACAGAGGGCACTTCACCACTTAACTCTCGACAGACGCTGCCTAAAGCCTGCCAGTGACGTGGCAAGAGAGAGGCGGTGGGACCCTCTCTGTGCCCACGTGCACATCCACGCCACGAACCCTCTGTCCTTAAGGCCATCCTCACTCGGCAAAGAAGTCGGCATGGCCTCTTCTCCCTGCACTGTGCGTGAGCTGGGCACACCGCACACACGCCGAACTGCCCGGAGGAGGCTTCGTTTTCATGCAGCTTGGTCCCTTGCAAAGAGGGGGTGGGGTGGCGGGAGCCCCGGCCTCCTCTGCACTACTGGCCACTTGCACAGAGCAACTGCATAGTGGAGGAGGGCAGGGGGAGTCCATCCCCTCGCCATAAAGGAACGGCATCCCTCCTGCAGGAAGACGTACAGGGCTAAGCGTCTTGCCCTCAAGCACCCTGACTACTGGAGATCAACTTCTGGGGAGTAAAAGCAAAATAACTTTTGCCTGTCCCTACTGGAAGAACATAACATGCAGCCAAGCTGCAATGCTGTCTGAAGTATTAGGTGAGTACTTGTCATTAGGTTAATACATGTCATGAGCAGAGCTGGCTGGAGCCGGGGGTCAGACTAGATGGCCTGGGAGACCCCTTCTGACATGCTCTGTTTCTATGTTTTTATGTTAATTCGGTATTGCTCTTTCCCAGCATGGCAACTTTAGTTGCCCCAGTTCTTATTGAGGCAAGGTATAACCCCAGCGGATTTTATTTATTTATTTAAAACATTTTTATCCTGTCCTTTCCAATGAATGGCTCAGAACAGCTTAAAATGATTAAATAAAATATAATATAATAATACAATAATTAAAAGCAGTAGATAATAGGCCAACATAAACAAGCACTTTCATAAAACTGAAGAAAAGAAGAAAGGAAGAAAAAAGAAAAGATAATGCGACTGCGGTCAGATCTTAAAACATCTAAAATCCTTAATTATTAAAATGATGGCTGAATGAAAAGGTCTTTACCCGGTGCCGAAAAGAGTATAGAGTCGGCGCCAGGTGAACCTCTTTGGGGAGTGCATTCCACAGTCTGGGGTGTATCTATCCAGTTGTGAAAGAAAATTTCTAGCAGTGAATAGATACCTTCACTGGCAAAGAGAGGCGGTGTTTGGAAATGGCCTGCTATGGCTAGAGCCCCACATTTTTCCACTTGGAGCCCCGAATCTCTGAGAAACCATATGCCCCACCACCTTGCCCTTCATGGGCGCTTGCTGGCAGAAAGGCCTTGATGATCACCTGGATTAGCGGGCCTTTTGCCCTGTAGTGTTTCCCCTCCTGCTGCCCCCCGAAATCTAATGCCCTCCTCTCCATGGTCAATACACTCCAATACACAAATAGGGGTGCCCTTAAGAGTCAGAGTCTCTGTGTGCACTTGTCAAAGACAGAGGGGTTGGTTTTGGGGCACTTCACCCCTTAGAGCACACACAAACTGACAGATGCAACCGGTGCTTTGTTTGATCCCCAGATCTTTTCAGTGCGGGCCACTCCTGTGCTCGCACCTCCCTTTCTCAGCCTCCTGGGCCAGCCACCTGGGGGCTGCATGCCAGCTGTGTGTGGGGAGGGGGAAAGCTGGAAGCGGAAAGGGCCAAGCCCCTGCTCCCCTGCGAACATACACGAAGATGCTCCCTGCCCCCTGTGTTCCCATTAGGCTTTGTCACGGTGAAAGCCAAAGAGCAGTGCAGGTGGGGGACCGAGGAGGAGAGACTGCGGAAGGGCCGGGGAAGCCCCATGGGCTGCCTGCTCTTCCCTGCCCCGCACCGTAGCATGTCTGCAAGAAAAGGGGCCATAACAGCCTGGAGGACAGGCTGACCGGGCAGGTGAAACGGAAGACGCCAGGGCCGCATTCGCCGCCTGGCATGGTCAAGCCTCGGCTTGTGCAGGCCTACCTGTTAGTCACAGCCGTGTCGCCCGGACTGCTACTCAGTGCTGGTGGTGGAAGAGCCGAGGGACTCCCGCAATGCAGTTCTGTCCCAGGTGGCTTCACAGGCACGATGGGACGGGGGATTCTGCTCTTTGTGCTCAAGCCTCTCTCTTCTGTCTTCAGCAGGGGACGCTTCTCCTGATTCCCCATCTTCCTCGGGGTAAAGTCATCCAAGTCGTGAGTGTCCTCCTCAGAGCCCGTGGCTGACAAGGTTTCTGAAGCTCTCCGCCTTTCGTCACTGGAGGAAGCGGAGGACGATGCCCCTGAAGCTAACCTGAGCAGACGGCTTTGTCTTTTCTCCATCACCAGACGGGCCAAGTCTTGCTGCTTCAGCCTCTTGTACAGCCTCTCCTTGCCAGACTGCGAGCCTGAAAGGTCCGAGCCAGTGTCCTCTTCTGAGAACAAGATGGGAATCCGGCTTTTATACCTGATGTTCATGGGCTTCCTGGGGGTTTCCTTTGGAACATCTGGAGGCAGTTTTGCTTGTTGGAGGGATTCCACTGCAAGAATTTTATGTTCAAGGCCAGACCGCTCAGCTTCTTCCAGATCAGACTCACAGACAGGTTTGCTTTTAACTTCCAATTCCTGCTCATCCGCTTTATCCATTCCATTCAACAGCAGGGCCTGCTCCCCTGCTGCTTCAGAGGTGATTTCTATGTGATTCACTGAGAGAGCACAACTTTCCATCTCTCCCCCTTCCAGGGCTGAATTCACACTCCCATTTTCTACCAACACCTGGTTTTCCTCCAGCTCTTCCTCAATGATTATCTCATCAAACTGCCCCGGGGTGGAGTACTCCTCATGCCTCATCAACTGGCCACCGGAAGACATGATGTTTAAGTGGGTCTTTTCAGCAATGTGGACAAACGTGCGCTCGACTTTGGTAAAAGGGGAGGAGGTCGTGGCCACAGCAACGGGCGGCTTTGGTTCAGACTTTAGGATGGAGGACAGTGTTCCTGGCTCAGACACATCAAGCTGGCTCCCCATAGGCTGAGGTTTTTCGCTTTGAGGAGTCAATGCAGCAAGAGTTCCAAGATCAACATCAGGAGCTAAATCTGTGTTCACTGGAGACTTCTTTAAGTCACCTGGTGAAAAGAGAACTAATGTTTTGGAGCCTTCCTCAAGTTCTAAGTCTCCTTCTGCAGCTGATGCTCGTCCCTTGGACTCCTTCTGGTCATCTGCCAAGAGGGTGGACGGGGCACCTTCCTGGCTATGCTCAGTACTTTTCTGGCTTACGTCGCTGCTTGAGTCGCTGTGCATGTCAAGCTCTTCTCCTAACTCACCAACTTCCTCCTCCTCCTCCTCTTCCTCTTCCTCCTCTTCCTCTTCCTCCTCCTCCTCTTCTTCCTCATATCTGCCATTTGCCATTTCCAGATGGGCTACAGGTGGTTTGCAAGGGACAGTTAAAACAACATTTGAGAAATCCACTTTCTTTACACGCTGGAGGATTCTGGCTCTTTCCCTGTTTTCTGACACATCCCTTTTGAAATCTTGATAAGGCAAACTTAAAGGCACCACCTTGGGGAGACCATTCATTTCAAAAGGCTTCAGTGTGAATACCTGGAACAAGACATTAAAAACATACATAATTATTATCTAGGGAACCATTAAGACTGCAATGAAAACTGGTGTGGTGTCTGGAGTCGGTCTGATCACTGGAGAGCTAGTAGGACCTAGAACAAAATCTACAGCAGAGGTGGAGAGCCTTTTTCCGCCAATGGCCTCATTTCCTTGGGGACCAAACACTGCCAGCAGCAACTGGGGCTGAAGCCAGTTTTGAGTTCTCTCTGTTCCTGTCTCTCCTTGCCTTGCAGCCTCTTGCTGGCAGTCTGAACCAATCATTTTCCAAGGGCTTCTGAAATTATCCCAAGGACCACATGTGTCCCTCGAGCACAGTAGCTCATCCCCGATCTAGACAACACATGACAACATAAAAAGAGCTGGAGGTAAGGGGGAAATTCTCTATGATGATGGATACTGCAGAAAACAAAACAGGAAGTTGAGGATACACTTAGGCAGACTGGAAGGTACATTACCACATGGTATTAAACCCCTGTGTTTGAAGCACCAAGAATGTCCTCTGGGATGTCTGATGAACAGTTCATTGAATGCCCCCCTCATTCTTTTTCAGGACTTCATCTCGTGTATCTGGATATAACACAAGCCGGAAGGAAGGAGAGACAATTGCCTCTCACTATCCCAGGCCACTGCTGCTGAAGACAAGCAGCAGCTAAAGCCTCTCCTTTACCGCCTACTAGTGTGATGTCTGATGATCTCTCCTAAGAGGTAACAATGCAAATGCTTACTCTTCAGTTAACGCATCAGCCAGTCTCAGGGGCCATAATGCAAACACAAAGAGCAAGCGCAGTGGAGCAGGGCACAAGGTAAAAGGAGAGAACATGAAGCAGGAGAGGAATGAAATATGGGTCACCGCTGTTCAGCAGCAGAAGACGTGAAGTAACACATGAAAAAAAAAACCACTGAAAAAGCTGTTCTACAGGTGGGAGATTCCTGCATAGTTGAAACATCCAGGGATAAGAGAGATGGTTACACAAGTACTATAAAATGGAAAGATTTGTGGTTGGGTACAGATTTAGATGGAAATGGATCTCCCTGCTTCTATCCACAGAAGCCTCTCCAGCCTCTGGAATTGCCACGAAGATGGCAGGGTAAACCTGCTGAATGGGGGAGATGCTGAAGTACGGCAGGAAGGGGGATCCACAAATATTGAGTGGTGGCAGTTTGCCCAAACAGAGCCCTTCCTTCAAGAGGAGGCAGATCTTGGATCCAATCCAGTGCTGGATGGATCCGGTACCAGGGTAAGACTGTCCTCTACTGCAGGTAATTTAATTGGGTTACGGAGGCTTTGTTAACTGCTTAAACAGGTCCTAAGACTCACGTTGCTATTTTAATTCTTAATTCTGTATATGCGTTTTAAATTTGGTTTCAAATTTTTGTACAACTGTTTAATGAAGTTTTAATGCAGTTCATATTTTATTCTGTATGTTTTATGTGTTGTAAACTGCTCAGAGAGCAGGCTGTTGGACAGCATAGCACATAAATAAATGAATAAATTGTCTCTCTCTCTCGTGTGCGTGTGTCTTTTTATGTTCTTTCAAAATCAAAGAACATCTCAAGACACATCTAGGAAGCAAGTTTCATGTGGAGAACAGGAATTTCATCACCACACAATCCATCAGGTGCGGGCAAGTCAAGGAAAATACTCCTTCAGAAAACATAGGCTTGGAATTTGCTGCCACCGACATGGGTACGGTCTCTTCCTTAGATGGCTGTAGAAGGGAATTAGAACAACTCATGGAGATTAAGCCTATGAATGGCCACCAGTGATTATGGCTATATGGTCTTTCCATGCTGTGCTGAGTATTGGAAGGAATACCAAGTGTTGGGAACTACACTGAATCCCTTGATCTTCCTTCTCCAGCCTCAGAGAATAACTTCCAGAATTTCTAATCACTGGCATGTTGGCCAGAGCTGATGGCAGCTGAAATCCAAAACATCTGGAGGACAACATCAAAAACATGTGGAGGTTGGGGAGTGTGAACTGGATAGACCTTTAGCCTAATCCAACAGTGCTCTTATCTATGAAATGCTCTAGCAGAGATGCTGGTAGTGAGAATGTCAACAGCTATAAAGCAAGATGGATAAGAAATGGCACTGTCATTTGCATGTTGATCTACATCACCCGGGTTTCTGAGAATAGGAAGTTATGGTGCTTGACCCAAAAAATCTAGAGGTGTTCCTACCAATCCATACAAATGTTTAAAAGACAGAATGAGTCTGCAGAATTTAAAATGCTTATTTTGTCACTATGAGGCTGTCTGTTGTCTTTGCACAGGACAAAAGATATTCTTCCGCCGGGAACCAAGCCCAATGCACTGTGCCAGCAGCGCCCTCTTCTGTGCCACGTGCAGCATCCACTCACGCTGCAGTACCTAATGCAAAAGAGGGACCACGCTTGCACCGTCGTTGCACAGGGGCTTGCCAGGAAGGAGCCCGGTGCAACTGCTGCCCAAGCAGCATCCAGGCGCAACTGCTGCACTTGATGCAGAAGGAGGTTAGCATTTGTGGATTTCCTCTCAGCTCAGCTCGCCTTGCAGGACTGGGCGGAGCAAAAGGAGAAGTCTGCAAATACTGAAGGGACGGATTCTGGTGAGCTCCATCCCAACCCTAGTTTAAGGGTTGTTCTAGGGGCAGGGAGAGGAGCAGACTGGTGCCATCAAGATACAGCACATCCTGATGGTACCTCAACCTCCTCCTCTTCCTCTGTGAAGTGAAGAGGAAACACAGAGGTGACCTTTGTCTCTGCTCTCCTCCCCTGCTATATAGAATGCCCTTGATCCTCCAAATTCAGAGGGTGACAGACATCCTTCAATGGGCTGTGCCTTAAGTGGTTTACATATGACAAAATTTAAATCACCACTTAAAATATATGTAAAAATGAGTCCAAGCCCCATACCGTTTGGGGCCAGGCTATCTGAAGGAATGCCTCCTGTATGTGCCTATGCGAACCGTGAGATCATCAGTGGAGGTCTTTCTCAGAGACCCCCCACCCCCAAGGAAGTAAGGAGGGTGGCCACTAGGGGAAGGGCCTTCTCAGTTGGGACATCCCACCTGCGGAATCAGCTCCCCAAAGAGGTACATCTGCTGCCCACCCTCTGTTCCTTCCAGCGTCGAGTGAAAACCTTTTATTTATTCAATGAAGTTAGATTATTATCTTAATTTTTACCATATTTTACTGTACCTCTGAGTGAGATTTAGCTGTGATGGATTATTGTACTATTGTCTTACTGTATCATGGTATTTAATAATTATATTACTGTGCTTTTATTATGTATGTTTTATATCAATTATGGTATTTTCAATTTTGCAAACCACCCAGGAAGCCTATGAGCTGATGGATGGTGAAGAAATGTTATAAATAGATAGATACAATAAACTCAATACAATCCCCACCCCTAAAATGGAGCAGCACCTTACTTAATTACAATTAATTAAACACAGAGACAGCCTGCTTAAACAATTGCACTTCAGGAGACATTTAAAACATGCTACATCTGCTGCCTCCCTTGCTACATGAGGGAGAATGTTCTAGAGTGTGGGCAGGTGCCATCACTGGGAAGGCCCACTTCTGAGATGTTACAGGACAACATTCTCTTGGTCCCAGAATGACCACCGAATCTTCACCTCTGAAGATCAGGGAAGTTGTGTGGGCATAAGGGAAGGCAATCTGCCAGGTATCCTGGGTCCAAGTTGTTTAGGGCTGTGCAGGTCAAAAAGGTGATGATGAAAATAGGTAGTGAACAGGCAGCCCATTCAGTGCTTTTAGCACAGATGGAATGTGAACATGGCTGCATATCACACAGAGCATCCTAGCTGCAGTTTCCAAACCGAGCACAAGGCTAGTCCTGCACAGAGTGCACTAGAATCCTCTGGTTATGACAGAGGTTCCCATCCTGGGGTGCCCACACCCCCAGAGGGTGTGAGACAGCAGCTCAGGGGGTGTGGCAAAGGAAGGCTGCATCACAATTCCCTGAAACTGGCAAATCTCAATGTTTTTGCCCAAAACTATCCCAATAATTTGGCTAATTGCTCAATTTATATTTGAATTTTATGCACTGTTAAAAGCTTATTTTTGGGTTCGATTTTTTCACCCACAGTACTGTAGGTGTTTCAATTAGCAGTTCAAAAATTAGAAATCTGACTCCTTCATCTTCAAAAACACACTACTTTTGTAGGGAGTACAAACATCAAGCATTTTCGAGGGGTGTGGGGCATGGAAAAGCTTGGGTACCACTGGGTAGTGAGATTGCCAGTGCCTGAACCATAATGGCTAGAGCACCCAAGCCAAAAACGGGCAGTTATTACACAGCTAAGTTACTAAAATGGGTGCTCTATGGTAGTGAGGTCACCTGGATGCCCAATGACAGAGATGGGTGCAATAGTACCCCCAAAATTCAGACCTGTTCCTTTCAAGGGAACACAACTCCCCCATCCCAATCAGTGCTGGCTCCAGGTTTTTAAGGAATCCTAGCCAAGGCACCCTTAATGGGGTCCCTCCCTCATGGAGTCAAACTTCCCATGGTCATTGATGCCTCCACTGATTCTCATCTTCTTTCTCTCACAGCTTCTATAGCTTGCCTGACAGGAGGCTCAATGCCAGATGAATCTTGTGAGTGGGTTCCCTGATGGTCTGTGGGCCTTCAGAAGGTGCCCAACCATGTGTATTCTCGCTTCTGGGAATTGGGGTCAGGGCCAGAATCAAGAACCACCCACCCAGAGGATCTGGGACTGCATCCAGACATCGCTTCAGAAAGAGTCAGTGATATAGTACTATAGCGAGATGAAGTACAGACAAATTTCAGGATATACACACTTCACTCCACAGTGGAATCCTGGGATTCATTGCCAGACATCTCAAGAGGGCTGCCACACTTTGTGTGGCTCCCTCTTTGTAGTGGTGCCCTGTACGTCACCACTGGCCACTCTGCCTTCTAGCTCACAAAATGCCACATGACTGCAACATG